TCTTCTATTCAACTCTTTAGTATCTTGAATTCTTCCTTGTGCTTTGGCTTCTCTGCGCTCCAGTGCAATTTTCAGAGTATCTTCTGACATCCATTTTGGTCTTCGCTTCTTCAGGTTATAAAGAATAAAAGTATGAGATATAAAAAATAGATTTAAAATCACTTTTAAAAAATCTTTGGAAACATAGTGCAACAATGAATGAATGTAAATCCAAAGTCTCTGTAAATGTTCATTAAAATTAATAAAAATTTTAAAAATCTTTGGAAACAAATCGATTGAATAAATTTCTGTTGGCTTTACTTTTGTGATATACTATTCAGCTACATTTTTTTTACTATTAAGCTACTTTAACAATGAGCTTTTATTTGAAGTTTAAAATTTTTATACCTTATTTGTTAATTTTATTGAGACATTAAGCTCTGATTTAATTTTTCATCTATATTTCTGTCTGTTAATGCATAACCACGTTAAGAAAAATATTTTCTTTTTTTTTATTTTATTTTATTATTTTTGTGTGCATGTACCGTCAAATCAGATCTGACTAGTACAGGAGGAGATTGTCCCTCCTTCCCCGGCAGAGCATCTGGTGGATTCGAACCGTAGAAAAATATTTTCTAAACCACAAATTCTTTTTCTACTAAAAGATGGAGATTAAATAGAAAATGTTATAGTGTTGAATTGTTCTGCCTATTAATAAGTGACTATTTCTTGATTTTATATGCTTCTTCACAATTAATTTTTATAAGACATTTTTGCCTTTCATAAATAAAAATTTAGAAAATAACAAAAACCAAAATAAGAATTCTGATCCGTAATCCCACAACCTAGAAACAGTATCTTAAAGTGCTTATTTATGTTCCTTTATGCTTAATTATTATATTATTCAATTCTACTACATACTTACAGGCCTTTGGAAACTATGAATATTAGAGAAATGAGTACATTTATAGATCTTTTTGTTCATAGGGTCTCTATGAGTCATACTTGACTCGATGGTACTTAACAACAGCAACAACAACAATACATACTTAGGTTTGTGGGGAATTTTTACTTTTCACTACAACATATCATTTTTCCTTTTTACTTTATCTACTAAAATTGTATATGCCTAGCAGTATCCTAACTCATAAAGCAATAATGCCTTGTATTTAAGTAAAATGTTCCAGTTTTCTTTTTCTTTTTAAATTTATTATTAATTTCAATATAAATTTACAGACTTTGCATTTCCATTCATTCATTGTTGCTCTTTATTCACCTCCCATCCCTCCCCCCTACTACACTACCCTCTTGGAAAAGTAAAAGAAAAGTTCTTTCATTGTTTTACAATCCCTTCCCCCAGATCCACTCCACTGTGCAGCCTTTGCTCTGAACTCCTGTCATGACAAAAATACCTAATAACATATCCCTTTTAAACAGTTTTCTCCCTCATCTGTTTCAGTGCAGTATACATTATTGAAACCATCTTTGTCAGTTCCACCCCAGCCCCGAGGCCAATTGTGTTTTACAACAGTGGCACCATGCAGTATTTGTCCTTTTGTGACTGAGATACTTTGCTCAGAATAATGTCCTCCAGGGTCACCCATTTTTAATAATATTGCATGAGTTCCTTGTTTTTCAATGCAGCATAGTATTCTCTATCCATTTTTTTGTTCATGGGCACTTAGGTTGTTTTTAACTCCTTGCTATTGTGAACAAAGCCATGATAATTATGGGTGTGCATAAAATGTTCCAATTTTCAAAGCAGTGGTTGTATCAATTTTCTTTTTAAACCTTCACTCAAATCACCATATTTTAAACAGTAGTAATTGTGTGAAATGTGTCACAAATTAGTAACAGAGCTAGAACTAGAGTTCATATTTTCAAAGTGCAGTTTCTACTCTGCTGTATAGCTTCAGTCATTTCACTACTTACCTGAGAAGAAAATGATCAGATTTAGGGACAATCATTTCTACTTTGGTGGTTTCACTCTTAGCTGTCGTTCCACTCCCTCATTAGTGTACCCTGCCTTTTATATCCTCTCTTGAAGGTCAGACTTTCTTACTCTGGCTCTTAATTGTTTCTTGTCTGTGTGCTCAGTGCCATAAGAACAAGTGCACAGCCATCTGCTTCAGCCCCAGGGCAGCTAGGCCTCAGATGTCTGTTTTTCTCATTTCATTCTCTACAGTTCACATGTCTTCCTTTTCCAAAGTAGAAAGTAACCAGTTTGCCTTCTGCTGAGGAAATCAGAATGTTTACATTTTTCTTGTCCTGTTTTGAATCTGTGTTACTCATATTTTCTCTCTTAAAAGAGCAGAGTGAATAGCACAGCATCAAGCCCACAATCACTAATCCTGCAGAAATAAAGTGAGGGTTCTGCTACATGTATAGGATTATTTTGCCAGTTGCCCTTCAGGTTAGTTGGTGTAGAAGGCAGACATGTACTGATTGATTCCCTTCCCATTAATTGAGCACTTGCTGTCAGCTTGGTAATCTTCTACTTCACTGATATGGGGAGGGGGGAGCGGGGAAGAATTTGATAAATTCACAACACTGCCTCTCATTCTAAGAACAGTATACCCAAACCCAAATCCGCTGTCATTATTCACTCAAACTCATGACAGCCCTCCTAGTTTCAGAGGTTCTAATTCTTTGCAGGATGAAAATGTCCATCTTTCTCCCATAAAGTGTCTGCTGGAGTCAAACAGTTGACCTTTTGGTTAGCAACCTGATATACTACGCACAAGCCACCATGGTTCCTTTCATAACAATCTCAGCTCAGAGTCAGTACAGTTAAGTCTTATATCCACCGTACATCCAAGGCTGTAAATTGTAGAGGGAGGAGATTGCCCATCTTTCTCCCAAGTAGTTCCAGGTGGATTTGATTTACTGGAGAGACACAGCCTTCGCATTAGCAGCACAGCTCAGTATGGATTTCAACTTTAGAACTCTCTATGACAGTATGTTGATGTTGTGTACCGTCAAGTAGAACTGACACTTCAGGGAGTTTTCAGGGACAGTCATCTTATGGGGGGAAATTACCTATCCTTTTCCCACGGAGCAGCTAGTGGGTTTGAACCATGTGTCTTTGGGATTGCAGCGCAGTTTCTTACCACTAGGCTACTAGAGCTCTCTACATTATATGTGTACAGACAGATAGATATGTTGTTGTTGTTGATTGCCGTCTAGCATGACTCATAGCGATCTTATGAACAAAAGGCCTGAAGCTTTTTATAACTATTGTTGTTTCTCAAAAGTCATAGAGTTTCCAGAGGCATGTTGTTTAGGAAGTGGATGCCACTCCTGCTTAAGTAGATAGGTAGGTAGGTAGATAGATATAGAGATAGTTAACAGATATAGAGATATAGATATAAAAGCTTATACAAACAGTATATCAAAGCATTTTTACTTGGTGGGGAATAAAAGAGAGGGGCTAAAAATGGGAGTTCTGTTGGCCTAATCTATAGGGAGTTGTGCTTCCAACCCAAAGGTCACAGTTTCTGGCCATTTGAATCTATGAGTGGCTCTGTAGGGTAATCTCCTGTGTGATTTACAGTGCAGGGTCAGATATGAGTAGATTCTGACTTCACACCAATGAGTAAGTGAATAAAAAGACAAAAATCTTCTGGTAACCTTTGAGAGTATCAAATTAATTAAATTCTCTTGAATGTGTTCAGTTTTTCCACTTGAAAAAACTATGAAGTTAATCAATGTTATTGTCCACATACACAAAAAATAAAACCCAGTGCCATCAAGTCAGTTTTGACCGATTGAAACCCATAAAGCAGGCTGAAATTGTTCCATATGCTTTCCAAAACTATAAAGCAGACTGCCACATCTTTCTAATGGAATTTCTGGTGGGTTTGATTAAGCAGTATAAAGCTTTGACCATCACACCACTTGGTCTCCTCCACAAAAAAATATGGCCTAATACAGCATACTTAGAATATACAAATAATTGTGGTTGCAGTTTAAAGAAGAGAAGATAATATTTTTATTCTCCTAATTAGCGCATTTAGGCACCTGACACCATGAAACAAATAGTTGTCAGGTCCTGATCTTCCTCATGATTGCTTTCAAGTCCTACTGTGGTCATCTATAGGGTTTTCACTAGCTGACTTGGAAGTAGATCACAAGTCTTGTCTTTATCCTTTATCTTATTTGGGAAGCTTTGCTGTAACTTCCTCTTTAATATTTTCTAAGATAGTAATTATGAAGGTACAATGTTAGGGAAGTAATTGGTGTTTGATATTTTTCTATCAGTTTGGAGAACAAGTAATCAATAAATCTTACACTTAAAAAATTAGTATTTGAGGGGAGCTCTGGTGGCCTAGTGGCAAGAAGCTGTACTGCAATCCCAAAGGTACACAGTTCGAATCCACCAGATGCTCTGCCGGAGAAGAAGGGACAGTTTCCTCCTGTACCAGTCAGATCTGATTTGACAGTACATGCACAAAAATTAATAAAATTTTAAAAAAATAGTATTTGACTCAAAGAAAGAGATTGTCAGTTAAGTAGGACAACATGGTTGTTTTGAAAGAATTGTATTTGAACTGTGAGCACTAAAGGTTAGAGTAGAGGAATCAGGTAAAAAATATTGAGAAGTTGATCTGTCTTTGTTCTAATAATAGGAGAAATCAGAAAACAGGGTTCATTCTCAAGTGAAGGGTATAGTGAGAAAAAGTGTATTTTTCATAGAAGATATTCCTCCTGGTTAAGGTATCATTTATAGATCTCTTGTTCCTACTGGATCATTTATCCTGTAGGGTTTGTATAGTCTGTGATACGACAGGAAACTAAAATTTAGACTTTTCATGCTAAATTTGTATTTGTTTTAAGGGTGGAAGGAAGAACCTGGTATACTCCCCACAGAGGACGACTCTGGATAGCAGCCACAGCCAAAAAACCTTCCTCTCAAGAAGTCTCAGAACTCCAGGCTACCTATCGTCTTCTTCGTGGGAAAGGTAAAAACTATATAGTCTCCTTTCGTTCCTACTTTATGGAGAGATGCCACTGACTTTCATCTTCTTTCACTTTGTCCTTCTTACAGCTTTTTCTTGGCTGAAATAGTTTTAAGCTTTTTCAGGGAATAAAATATGATCTAGAACCAGTGGAATTTCAAGCTGCACTGATGGTATTAACAAAAAACAAAAAAAAAGAGAAAGAAAGAAAATGAACCCAGGAATTGAGGGAATAACAATTGACATGTTTCAACAAACAGATGCAGCCCTGCATGTGCACACCAGTATTTGCCGACAAATATAGAATACAGCTACTTGGCCAACTGACTAGAAAAAAATCCTATTTGTTCTCAATCCGAAAAAGAGACAAACCAACAGAATGTGGAAGTTAGCAAACATTGTCATTAATATTAGGAGTCTATTAAAATCTTGCTGAAGATTATTAAAAAACAACCAAAACAGTACAGTGACAGAGAACTGCTAGGAATTCAAGCTGAATTAAAGAGGCTGTGACAACTAGGGAACTGCTGATGTCAGATGAATTTTGACAATTTTATCAAGAGGATTTCTGTCTGTGTTATACCAAAACATTTATTGTTCTCATGTGAAACTGAAACTTATAGCCAGACCAAGAAGTGGTTCTTTGGACAAAACAAGGGAATACTGCACGGTTCAAAAGTCAAGGAGCTGATTATATTTGTCTTCCCTCATTGTGAATAGGTTGCTGATGTCTGAGCCTGCAGGCGATGTCACCAGTACTGTGGGAGGCAGAAGGGCTGGCCTATCTGATCTCAAAGAAAGCTGCTTATTGTGTGCAAAGAAAAATAAAAATAAAAAAAGGACTGCATCAAGGATATATCCTTTCTTTATACTTTTCCAATCTGTATGTGGAATAGATCATTCAGGAGGCTGAACTTTATAAAGAAGAATGTGACGTTAGGATTGGAGGAAGACTCATCAACAAACAACCTGCATTATGCAGGTACAGCTTGATTACTGATAGTGAAGATGATTTGAAACACTTAGTGTGGAAGATCACAGATTCCTGCCTTTAGTATGGATTATACTCTCAACCATCATGTCTGTAGTGTCTGTAATGCTGGATGTCATATTCACTCGATAGAGCTCTGTCTAAGAAGCAGATATAACGTGAGGGTGTCTGTCTGAGACTGATTTCAACCTGCTTCATAAAGAGGAACTGTCCCTATCAGTAATATCCATAGTACTAAACAAATAGCTGCATGATCAGACATGCCAGGCCTCATGTTCCTGTATCTATTTCTACTAATCACTGGGTCCAGTGTTTGTTGTGACTTTACTCACAATTGTGGGATTTATTAGGAAAATAGGTTGGGGAGTAGGGGAGACAAAGAGTATCACCTAGTGCAAGTCCAGGTTTAGTCCAGCAGCCCTAGACCAGATTAACAAGTCACAGTTCCTCATTTAGTGAAAGCCCAGGTTCAGTTCAGCAGCACAGATGCACTTCTGGTTTCCATAGTCATCCAACAAACATTATCTTAGAGCAGTTACAAGTCAGCTTTCCCTTCAGTCATCCAGCGAGCAAAACTTTTAACTGTGGCACCATCTCTAGGGTTCCTCTGGTTATACCTTGCCACAGTCTCTTCGTAGCATTGCCACAGTCTCTTCATCCTCTCTCTACCACTGTTGTTCACAGTGTGAAAAGTGCTCTCTTATGCTGGTGCCACAGCTGTTGATGATTTGTAAAACCATGCATACTCAGTTAAGATGACTGAAGACCATGCCCCCAGTGGGGGCTAATATAATGGATAGAAGAAGTCAATTTTCAAAGTTTCTGACACGACACACTGAAATATTAAAGTGCAAATTACATATATATGTACACTACATATCAGCTTCAAGAAAACAAAAATCTTACCACCAGGCCAGTAGGCATAAAAGGCAGCATCATATTACTTTAGGTGCCGTCAAGTTGAGTACAACTCATAGATACCCTATGAACAAGAACAGACCTAAATTCTTGCCTATCCTGTGCCATTCTCATCATCTCCGATATACTTGAGCCCATTGCTGCAGTCACTATGTCAATCCAAGATTGAAGTCATCAGTGATTTCATCTTACTTGGAGCCACAATCACTAACAGTAAAGAAATTAAAAACTTAATTGCATGAGAAAATCTGTCAGCAACTTCTCCAGAGTACTGAAGAGCAGTGATATCAATTTGAAGATGAAGATTTGCTTGATTGAAGCCATGGCCTTCTCCATTACTTGCTGTACATCTGGAAGTTGGACAGTGAGTATGGTTAACAGAAGAATAAGTAATACTTTTTTGTTCTGGTGATGGAAGAGAGTACTGAATGTCCCATGGACTGCCAAAAGAATGAACAAATATGCCTTGGAGAAGATGCAGCCGTGGTGCTCCTTGAAGGCAAGGATGGTGAAACTTTGTCTCCATCTTTAGGCATAATGTTAGAAGAGGCCAGTCCTTGGAAAATAACATCATGCTTGGGAAGGTTAGCAAAGGAGAAGACTACCCTCAACAAGATGGATTGACAAAGTGTATCAGTGGTCTCAAGTATAACAGAGATGATGAGAATGACACAGGATAGAACAAGGTTCAGACCTGGCATTCATAGGGTTGCTATGCATTGTAAGCAACTTAAAAGCACCTAACAGCAACAGCAACAACATTTATTTAGTGGCGGATTATAAATAGCTTTTCAGTGCAGAACTTTGAACCAGTTTGAACCAATTAATGGCTGACAAAGTGAAATGAGAACAAGCTCAAAATTCTAATCTTTAGTTTATTTAGAACCCTAACTGAAATGACAAAAACTATAGGCCAAAGCAATGGAATCGGACACTTAGAAGAGATGTGTCTATGTATGTAGTAAGCTGTTCAAAAACTCGATTTGTGATACTGAATAATTGCCAGGAATATGGAGAGGAACATATAATCAAAGCATCCCTGTTTTCAACTCAGTAGGTGAAGAGATTTGTTTACTATGCCACCCTTGTTTTTATTTTTTTAGTATTTTTCCAAACTCCAACAACTCACATTATTAACATTTCTAATTCCCACACTTGAGCTGTGGGAGGACGAGCCTCGTTCCTGAGCAATGGAAGCAGGACACACCTTTCAGGTAGGCTGCTGGTTGGTTATAAGCCCTGCAGAGTTCAAGTAGGTTCACACCTCAGTTTCAACCCAGCTCTCAATGTAGCCCCTAAGAAAGGATTTTTGTTTGAGTCTTTTTTTTCCCTTCTCCTTTTAAAAGTATATCTAAAAAAAGGTAAGTTGCCTTTCTAAGAAGATGGTGCCAAAAGCAAAGAAGGAAACCCCTGCCCCTCCCAAAACTGAAGCCCAAGCAAAGGCGTTACAGGCCAAGAAGACAGTCCCAAAGGGCACAGCCAAAAGAAAAAAAGAATATCTGCAAGTCACCCACCTTCCAGCAGCCTAAGATCCTGGGACACTGAAGGCAGCCCAGATATACCTGGAAGAACACCCCAGGAGAAATACGTTTGATCACTATGCCATCATCAAATTTCCCCTGACCACTGAGTCAGCCATGAAGAATATAGAAGATAACAAGTGTTTATTGTGGATGTCAAGGACAACAAGCACCAAATTAAATGAGCTGTAAAGAAGCTCTATGACATTGATGTGGCTAAGGTCAACACTTTGATTAGGCCTGGTGGAGAGAAGAAGGCCTATGTTCAACTTGCGCCTGACTATGGTGCTTTGGATGTTGCCAGGAAAATTGGAATCATCTAAACGGAGTCCAGCTGACTAATTCTAAATACAAATTTTTCTCACAAAAAAGAAAAGATGATTCTCCCCCTCCAAAAAATTCGTTCAAAGTTAACAGAAGTGTAAACTATGATCTGTCTCAAGCACAGAACTGCCAGAGGATTCACACACACTATTTGTTTTTTTCCTGTTGGTTCTCCTTTCATTCTTGGAAGTCAGTGGTTTCCACAGGTCAGTTCAGAGATAAGCCTGGTCCATAGCAGTTTGTTTTACAACTCTGGTTTGTTCTCACTTCTTTCCCTGAAATTAGTGCTTTTTGGTTCAGAACTCCAGAGGCTGAGCTGGAACCTCCAGGCTCCATCCTGAAACCAGCTTGCATTTTCCTGACATGGCCTCACTCCTGCTTTGGAGCAGTAGGTCACCTTTCTTCTTTCTTAGATTTTTACCCAAACGTCATCAAGTTTGTCTGAACCTGTTGTTTGTTTTTTTCGCAGGCTGCATTCAAATGCTTAAACCACAGCATCATTGCATTCATCTGATTGCCAGCTTCAAACTTGTATGAATTTCCTTTCTCAGAGTTAGTCAGCAAGAAGAGATCTGGATGTTCTGTATAATCAGCCATTATCACCATCCATACTACCACAGACATGGTCTTATTTGACGTAGATTTGAAATATTTTCTTCCTGTAGCCTTTAGAGATTTGGCAGCATAGTAAAAAAGCTGGGTCCCACAACAACGCTGCCCAATATTTTGTCCAAGATGCTATTATTGGCTTTTTGCCTTCTTTTAACAAAGTTTTTCTCCTGAGAACATCTTGAATACTAAGGGCTCCTGGGTATAAATATGCTGCCAGGTCTTTTGATTCAGCAGAACTGCTGGCCTTCATGTGGCTTCGATAGCCATTTGTGCTATTCTTGTCACTCTTGAGCCGAGAGAATAGTATAATCTTTTCCTTTCAAAAGCAGGCCATGAGGTCTCTTCACTTAGTTCATAACCATCACTGCTACCTATTGATATCCCACTGGGAAGAGTAGTGTATGTACTCTTCGTGGCCCCTAGATGGTACGTGGGACTTCATGATGCTGTCATCTAGTAGACGTTGGGGGCCTGCATTTGGGAACATGGCACTCTTAAACTCTTCTGTGTTCATTTTATGAATAAAATTGTAATCCAGACTATGGCACTTCTATTGTCCATGTGGGATCAGATTCCGAGGGGATGGGTGTGTCTGTGGTTGCAAGGCTTCTTCAGCGGCCACACTTTTTCTCCCACTCTGTGGAGATGCTCCTATTTCAGGACCTAATAAGTCTTCCCTGGGTGCAGCAGAATGTGGTGTGCTTGTCTCTGGTTCTATCTTTAATGAAAGCTTGTAATTATCATTTTCCACAAACTTTTGCGATTCTTCTATATACTGAACAGAGCAGATATTTTTGGACATGAGGCAACATGGGAATATCATATTCACAGGACTAATGTAAATCAGAAATTATTCTAAGGATGTTATTCATCCAATTTGATCTCTGCTCATTTTCTGGAATTCTACTGGTTGATGGGTATGATGAATCAATATATGTTAAATCTGACAGATACCAAAATAGGGAATGCAAGGTGTCATCTTTAAACTACTTTTATAATCTCTGAGTATTTTGTAGTTATCTTCTTTACGCATTATATATTCTAATGTTTCAAAAGTTGTTTTGTCTTTTTTACTTAATAATGCACATGTTTTAGTCAATCTGAAAATTGAGTCACTTTGTAAGCCATAAACCACTGCCATAAGTGCATGGAGGTTTATTCAGCTCAGTTTCTTAGCAGTTTTAATATAGTGGCTCAAAACTTCTGCCATAATTTTTAATGTCTGAGCATGAAGAATCACTCTAACAACCCAAAGCTTACATGGTTAAATCTTCTTCTGAAGCAAATACATTTGGTGTAGAACTGTATATCTCTATTATTCTATTCACAACTGGAAAGTTGTCTGGTTAGATAGCTTTAAATACTGGGACATCCATTAGTGTGATCTGACCCACATATTCTTCTGGTGTAACCTTAAGAATGTCAAATCCCACAGCATCAAAACTTTTCTTCAATTCAGAACCTTTGTCACTTAGAGACTCAGAGCTGCTACTTTTCTCAGAAGCAGTGGCTCCAATATTCACATTGCTTTCTTCAGGTCCATGTTCCCACATCAGTCCCCAATGCTATGTTAACATCAACAAGGGCCCAATCACTTCATGCCCAAGGCCACATGTACATTATTCCTGTACTGCCGTGACCACCGCTTCAGAAGATGGAAAGAGGTCTGATATCATGTGCTGTTGTTTTGCAACCATTGCCAAGGTGGCTCATGGATCAGAGCAGTTGACCGCTACCCTTGTTTTTAGAAGAAGATCACATTTCTAGCATAGTGATTACCCATGTTGTTGTTGTTGCTGTTATGTGCCGTCGAGT